ACTAGAGGGAGCTGGGCCTCAATCTCTAGCCTCAGCAGTCGCCAGCCCAAAATTGTCCCATTTTTCTCAGTCTTGCTGAATAAGATGTTGTGTTCTCTGTCCTCCGAGAGCATCTTCGTCTGGTTTCCCTTCTATAAATGCGCCATATTCTGCAGCACCAAAATGAAGATCGGGGAGGACAAAACAAGAAGGCCAGAAGTGAGAGGACTTAAAAGATCAAAGCGGCAAGATACTGGTATGAGATGTGTCTGTCTTAGAAACTTAAAGCAGTTTTGCATCAGTTGAACTGGCAGCACTTCTCACAAAGGATCCGGGTCTTAGTTTGGTGAGAGCGCTTAGAATTCTCCCAAACAGGGAATTGCTGAACTACAGTAACAGGCTTCCCTTACTAGAGTACTCTCCATGCTAGCAGGGGCTGCTGGGAGTTGTAGTTTAGCACCCTCTGGAAGGCAACAGGTTTCCAATCTTTGCTCTTCAGGCTTCCTAAATCTTTGCAAGGGATTGAGGATTTGGCCTGAATGACACACAACAGAATGGAATTTGGAGGAGGTAGACACAAGGATGTCCATGCAGGTCAAAAAAGTCAAGTTGTGGCCACCACTCAAATGAAACCCTGCTCCTTTTTTAGTCGTGTTACAATGCACATAGCAAAGGATGGAGCTTCCATCCTGCAATCACAGCCACCATCGTAACTTTTTTGACCCTTTCTGCAGACACCTTCTTCTGAGTAGAAGAGTGGGCTGGGCTACTTCAGAATGTACTAGAAGATGCTATCAAATTCAGGCTTCCCCCCACAGTGGGGCAGGAGCTCACATGTCCGAGAAAAAAATTCCTTACCCAGTTTTTCCTCAGATCTTTTCCAGTTGCACAGAGTTTGCCATATAGGGGAGCCTCAAAAAATGTGATTCCTTGATACGAATTCTGGAGGGGGACAGTCCATTGCACCATGTCGTGACTTAACTATGTCATTCCTTCTCATCTTGCTAGATGTGTAGGCAAGGTTAGCTAGAAAGAGAGGAATGACCATTAAATCCGTTCGCCCTGGAGTATGGATACTTTAGATGTCACAGAGTTGGCATCGTCAGGCCACTCTAACACCCCCCCAACCCACAAAGGCTTACCAGCATCCTTGCTACTGTAGCTGCCAAGTTCGTCCTCCTCCTCCTCCAGCAAAGCTGGTACCCCTGGAGGTCCTGGTCCTGGTGGGAAGACTGAGAGTTTGACACTGTCTCTCACAACGATGCAGAGGGCAGGAAGACGGAAAGGGCTGAGACCCCTTGTGCTGTGCAGCCCTGGGGCAACCTGCTTCACTTCGATGCACGCCCCCTTCCAGGCCGTTTCTCCTTTCCAACTTCATCCTGCATGGCCAGTGAAACCAGGGCAGGGGAACAGAGAATAAGGAGAACAATCCCCTTCAGTTGATAGGGAAGGAGAAGGAAAAAAGAAAACCAGAGAGAGTTTGGGAGGGCAGCTAAAAGGAAGTGAAGGAGGATCTTAGGCAGGAATGGAGAGCATAGGCTGGAAGGGAAGAAATTAGTTGATGAGAGAAGAAGCCTGGGCTGTGTTTGGGGCAGGAGGCGGGAAGGCTGGATGGGAAAAACCCTGGGATGGGAAGGGGAGGGCCCAAGGCAGCTCCAAAGCAGGGATGGGAAGAGGGGAGGGCGAGGAAGGGAAGGCAGGCAAGGGGGGGAGAGGGCTGGGAGACGAAAAAGAGGCAGAGAAGACAGAGGCGGGCAGAGGAAGGGCAGGCTTGTGGGGGTCGGGGGCCAGCCATGGGGGGGGGGCCAGCCCCGCCGGGGCGTTCTCGCCCGCCCCCCGGGGGGGGCGGGGG